AATTTTATAATTTCAATACAAAATTTATTGATAATATTTTCTAATTTTTTTTCTATTGGTTGAAATATGGTTAGTTGTATAGGTAATAATATTTTTTCATTTTGAAAATAAACAAAAAAATATATTTTCTTAATCTATATACATGAACCTAAAACGACAATTAAAATGAAACGGAGCAAGTATATACTAATTTAGGTGTTAGATTATTCTCTTTATCGTTTCTGTTATTAACATCAATAAAAAATATGTTTTTTATTTAAATAGAAAGATTTTAAATTGTTGTTGTTTATTCAAAATGGTTCAATTTATTGCCTAATGAATTTCGTAAGGACTTGATATGTTTTAAGAACTATAATTTATTAATTATTGTCTATATTAAGTGAAGTTAATAAATTATATTTTTTGTTGATACTGGTGTTTCTTTAAATATGACTTTTGTAGTTTTGTAGACAACTTGCTAAGCTCTTTCCAAAATTCACATACAAAGTTTTGATTCCTTCTTTGATAATAGAAAGTTAAGAATTTTTATTTTTGGAACAATAAATTGATAATTTATTTGGTAATGGTTATCTTATAGTGATTTCTTAATTTTTTGAATTTCACTTTTTTGTTTGTTGGTTTGTCATATATTTATATTTCTATAGTTTTTTAGCAGTTCTTATTCAAACTGGTGTTAATTATTAATTTTTACACTATTTTAATAAATGAGAAGTATATTGTAATATTTTTTGAAATAAAAAACTTATATATTCATCTGATATGAAAATACATAATTATTTTAATTTTTTATATCTATATTTCTGGTTTATTATTATTGGTCATTTGTCATTTATTTTGAAATAAAAAATAGAAAATGTTTTTTTAATCTGTATAAATAAACCTAAAATAACAATTAAAATGAAACGAAAGAGTATATAATAATTTAAGATGCTAGATTATCCTCTTTATCGTTTATGTTATTCTGGAAAGTCATGTGCTATTTTGTTTTAAAGTTTCGTTGGTATTTGTTGGGTCTAAGTTTTGGTAATATTTATTTGTGCCATTATCATTTATTATTGTTTCATTTCTTCATTTTTTGTTATTAATGTCAAAACATAAATTACAGTTTTGGTTTTACGTCTAGATTTTGTTAGTTTTTCTATTAATTTATGTTAATATAGAATTTTTTAAATATGTGCATAATACTTTATATGCTATCCAGATTAAGATGAATCAAGTATTATTTGTAGGTTAAAATCTTTTATCTGCTTAATATATTTTATACATTACTATATTTTGTTAAATATGTATTATTAATTCCAAATTTCATAGGTATTGTATGCTATTGTGTGGATGTATGCTTTAACTAATTTATATATATATATGTATCATAAGGAACTTTATAATAATATTTTTAATGTCTAGGTAAACAGTCCTAGGATATTCAAAATTTTATGTAAATATTATTCATCCAATAAATCTATTTTAACCGGATCAAAGTTTTAATGAAATTAAAAGTTTTGACAAACCTTAAAAGGAATTTTATTAAATTAATTATAACACATACTTAATTTCAATAATATTTTTTTTTTTAAATCAGTTTTCTGTGTATTTTCTTCAAGTGATTATATAATTAATAAAATTGATATTATTAATATTTTTTTTTTGTTTTTATCTAATAAAATTTTATTATAAGCACTTTTAGAAATTAAAAAAATATGTAAATAAATTCAAAATTATACTTGTTTCTTATGAATCATTCTTAAGTTATTAACATTTAAAATAATAAATAAGAAATATTGGTATCTTCTTCAAAATAATCAATTATAAGCATGCTTTATAAAAATATTGAAATAATATAGTTTTTGCTTTACTAAATAATTATTAACATAGATAAATATATTTAATAAATATTTATTTATTAGAAATATTGGAAGATAAATATATTTAAATTTTATTTTAAAATAACTGAATATGTCGATCTAGTAAGTCCAATGTTAAAAAAAAAACGATAAATATATTAAAATTTTATTTTAAAAATAACTGAAATTTTAACATTTAATTTTAAAATATAAACTATTAAGGACAAACATTTAGATCTTTGTTTTTCCTCGTCCATCAATGTTGTAATTATCATCCCACCAAGTATTTTAACACTTCTCCAAAGGACTCATTAAGGACATTTGCACTTTCTCCACGTATAGAATATCAGAAGCAGAGAAGCATTATAGAGTAGCAAAGCCTAGTAGATGAAAGCTCTAATTCTCTTTGGCTCACTGAGTGGCATATCTATGAGTGAATATGCCTCACATATCTTCCTACTATTGTGTCCAGATTACAGTAAAACTTATTTGCTTCCCTGAATCTTGAAGCGGAGTTCTTGCTGAATTCATTTCCTTAAGCGATAGATTAATCTGTAACTTCATTATGATTACCTCCAATAACCTCTTACCCCCTTGCAGCCTTGTAAGGATTGTCGTAAAGATGTGCTCTTATGAAGCCTTGTAACGACTGTCGTGGATCCCATGATTAACCACAGTCTCAATTGTTGTTACCATCTTTAAAATATTAGTAAGTCCATCTTTTCCAGCCTTTGTTTTGGAACCTTCAAACACGACTCACTTGAGTGTGATGCTGGATTTGAGAATTCTACTCAATGGAAAAAGGAAATCCGCTATGCCAACGCTCTCAAACTGGTTCCCATCAACATACAAACTCTGCAAGCTCTTGTTCTTGTAAAGTCCAGCTGCAACATAAACGAATGCTTTGTTTTAAGCCTAGGATTCTAGAACCTCACTTCTTTAAGAGGCTTGTTCTGTTCAAGAACCCATCGGAACTCTTTCAGCAACATCAAACTCAGAATTGTGCACGTCATGTATAGAGACGTCAAGATCCAGAAATGTAGATCTAGTAAGTCCTTAGAATGTTGCTCTCAGGCGAGATTGTATCCCTTGTGTGATTTTCACTCACACGTGAACCTCTGTTTCCCTGTTTATATCCAAAAGCGCAGATATCAATGGCATCGCAGTGAGGGGACTGGAGTCGAATATGCTAAAAAAAATTAAAAAAATAACGTACCCATCTCTGAGTGGCTAACACAAAAGCTAAAGAATCTTAAATTTGCTCTCAATGTATATTGTTGCAGAACCTGTACCAGCTCTAGCATGAAAAATGATTGCAACATCATTACACCAGCTTGAGTCAATGTCGATAGCTATGAAATCTTAGAGCTCAATCTGGAGAAGAAAAAAAGTCAAAAGAAGCATTTAGGATTCTAACACTTTTTTATAACATACGTATCCAACGATTGTTTTTATTTTATTTTCGTACCTGGGATAATAACTGAGTAGAATCATGAGACTCATGATGAAGAAGTAATTTCTTCTAAATGATATACTCACTGAATAAAAAAAAGAATAACATATTATTTATTCCAAAACATACACAAAAATCATACTAATTATTTAAAACACTCCCCATGTCGCACATTCCACTTATTTAGAGTTTTTTTTCTGATGTTCGAACAAGCTTCCACCATCAATACTATTAAATTAGAAACATGACCAGTTGATAAAAGGTTGTGTCCAACTTTTTTTTTTTAAAAGCTGATTTTTATATAACTGCATCTATTATATCTAACACTACCGATATAGAAAGACCAGAGCAAACAAAATGGTTATTGAAAAAATTTGAGAACTTGGAAAATATAAAAAGAGTACAAGTTCCCCCAAAATCCAAAAGGAAGAGTAGATCAGCCATTCGAATTAGATTCATATACACTTTTTTTGGCATTTAGTCTACAGTATTTGCTATTGTTAACCATGGCTGTTTCTCCAAATCGGAGTCATCAACTTTTTTTTTACTATTTTGGTTTCTAGAAGTTAAAATCCGGTATTATATGTTAAATATGCAAGATTTAAGCATAAAATCAACAAAAATGAATAATACTCGATGGATTTTATAAGAAAAACAATGGCGGCTGTAAAACTTTTTTTTTGCGAAACCTAATTCGACCGGGGAAGAAGACAAACAAAATTATGTTTATGCCATTAGTGAAAAAAAACAAAAAAAATTGAAAAACAATATGGGAGGGTTTCGAACCCGAAATATGCCAACAGGTGTGTGCGTTGTTTCAAATAGGCCACATAACCATTTTGTATTTTACTAACTGATTATATATCTATATTGATCAGATTTTTTTTAGAAAAAACTCAAAATTAATCGACCAATGTCCAATTAATCATGCTATTAATAATTAATCAAAATTAATCGATCAGTGTTCAATTTTATGTCGGATAGTGTTGAATTTATATATTTATACAAATATGATGGTCGATAAAATTTATCCCATTTAACCTATTTAGCAGGATATAAAATCATGCACAAATACAAATTTATCATTATCAACAAAATTTACTTATTTAGCATAAAAAATTAAAAGATTTTACATGCATCTACTCATTTTGTAAATTATATGTTATTAAATTTTCAGATGATGTAATCTATATATCTTATTAACGATTCAAATGCTATTATAGTTAATCAAAAACATATACTAAATATATATTTTACAAGTAGGTTTTATCGGTTCAATCACAGGTCTAGACCGAGTATAAAAATAATGCTTATATCCAATTCTTCGATAAACCATATATATATATATATCCCACTAAAAATAATTAATGCGTGAAATTAATATAACATTAGTGTATAGTTACATAACGTCATAAATTTAATATAATTATCAAAACATTTTACTAATAATTTTTAAAAAAACATATTTTACAAAATATGATTACAAAGAAAATACACATATATGAAAATTAAATTTCTAGAAAAATGTAAAACAAATATATACCCATGCGTTCAAGGAAAGATCAGAATTTAGTAACAATCTAAATGAGAAATTAGACAAACTCTATATAAATTTCTAGTCCAATCAGTGAAGAAAGAAAGAGAAAAAGACAAAGAAGTTTATTTATTGAGGTCTAAAATCAATGTTTAGGCAGAGGGACCTTCCCAACCAGAATTAGAGGAGATAAAGTTGCCGCGTCCTTCTCCCAAATCCAACGCTCTTCCTTTATTTCACTTTCATCTTCTTCACGTCTCCGAATCGAATCCTTTGGGAGGAAATAATCACACTCTTTTCTCCGGTAAATCTACGCATCCCTCCTTCTCTGTCCCGATTATATTGAATCACGAAAGGTAATGATTGTTGGGTTGTTACAATTGTCTTGTATTTATAGTGAAATTCTTCTTGAATTTATGGCTTCCAGCCAAGTAGAAAGAATCCTTTTAGAGTTTCTCATCGATCACCAATGTATATATAGAGAGGAATAATATGAAAATTTGTTGTCATTTTCTTGCGTCTTGGAACATATTTTGAGCAATGGATCTGACCATCTTCTCCAGAAAAAAAAATCCAAATTAGTCCTGAAAATGCAGTGGAATGGGGTGAGACGAGCCCATTCTTTATGGTGCAAGACTTTAACACACAACACTCATTTCCATCATGCTTATATTCCAGTCACGATGTCGAGTTTGGAGGAGCCACTAGCTTTTGACAAGTTGCCAAGTATGAGCACCATTGACAGGATCCAGAGGTTTTCATCCAGTGCTTGTCGCTCCAGGGAGGATGTCGGCATGGGACACCGTTGGATCCAGGGAAGAGATTGCAGCACCTCAAACTGTTGCAAGTGAGTTTAGCTTTTACATTCATTTTTTTTTAATCCGGTCTCTCGGAAGTTAAAGGTACCTTCCATTCTTATACTCACAGTGATGATGATGATGATGATGATGATGATAAGAGCTTTGGTAAAGAGTCATTTCCGTGGAAAAGGCATTCTCGAAAAGTTTCTGAAGGAGAACTTCTACTTCGGAGTATTTCATTCTCAGGAAGGAACTCCACAGTTTCTGGGAATTTATGGGAATCCAAAAGTTTTCAGGAGCATAAGTATCACAGCTTTAGCAATGAGAATGTCATCTCTCATTCAAGTAACACGGTAATTTTGCTAGCGCTGGAAAATTGTTTTTTTTTTTATGGTTTGTTAACATGCGTCCAAAATAATTCATCTTCTAAATTTCGCTGAAAGTTCCCAATAGAAAATAACTACTTTTCTCTTATTCTTCCGTTTCTGTATGATATGCAGCTTGTTCGAGGTGTACCGAAAGTTGTGAAGATTGTTGAAGTTGGTCCAAGGGATGGTCTGCAGAACGAGAAAAATATAGTACCCACATCTGTAAAGGTTGAACTTATTCAGAGATTAGTTTCTGCTGGATTACCCGTTGTCGAGGCTACAAGCTTTGTATCACCCAAATGGGTTCCCCAGGTAATGCTTTTATGTTAATGTTTATATATTATGATTTTCATGAATTGTCATAGAAATCATTTGTTTTGTGTATCTTGTAGTTTTGTTTGCTGTAGACGGACTTTTATAAATGTCTCATAAAATGGAAGTTCCCTTTTGTAGAACTACTTGCATCTAGATAGTTAGTTTTTTATGATGCAACAATTTATTCTTTTTTTTGTTTTGTTCGGATTTTTATCCCACCAGAACCTGGGTTGGAAAACACAACAGAACTGGTAAAACAGTGTCCTATTACCCCGTGGAACAAACTTTACCATTTAGAAAACAAATACTTTTCTTGCTTTAATGGTATTGCTTGTGCCTGCTGCTAACTGAGCAACACGCATACCGTTTTCCGGAAATTTGATTGTGTTACAATCTATAGTTCTTGGTTCAAGTAATTTAATTTGCGTCTCTTTGGATGTATTTGCTGTCATTTAGATGTAGAAACAATTCCTGCGACAGATGGTTAAGCGAAACTATTTTGACTGAACATAAAAGTTTATACTGTTTGGACTTGTAGCTTGCAGATGCAAAGGATGTAATGGATGCAGTAAATGCTCTAGATGGGGCTCGATTACCGGTTCTGACTCCGAATCTAAAAGTGTGTAACATTTTCACTTTTAAGGCTCTCCAAAGAAATCTTTTTTCTTATTTTTGAACACCAACATAGAATATTTTGTTAGGGGTTTGAAGCGGCTGTATCTGCTGGTGCTAAGGAAGTTGCAATATTTGCATCGGCTTCTGAGTCATTCTCCTTGTCAAATATTAACTGTACAATTGAAGAGAGTCTATTGAGATACCGTGCTGTTGTCACCGCTGCAAAGGAGCACTCCATTCCTGTCCGAGGGTACGTTTCTTCTGCTTCTTCATATTATAGTTTCCTTCTAGATGGCATCTAATAATAAGGGAAATATGATGTATATGCCCAGTTGCCCACACAAGTTTTTCGTATTTTAATTCTTTAACCTAATTATTTATTTGATTGTGGTTTCTCGCCTTTCAAACGCTTTATTTCTCACCTCTCATATTTATGCGATATTAACCAAAAGTTGATAATTCGTACATCATGTTTAGCAAATTTTAATCGATACATTTGATAAACTTATCCTAGTGCTAGGACCAACACAAATATTTTGATAGGTGATACTTAATGTTATGTTTCTCGCAGTTATGGTTTTGTAAAAATGTGGATTGTGGACCCATGAATAGTTTTTTTTATTGTCTTAACTTTTACTAACAAATTTATGGACAGAGTTTTTGTTGTAGAATAAACCTATTTTTCCATGATAACGCTAATAATTTGTTCTAATAATTCATGATTATTTTCCCATTGTTGAAGGTATGTATCTTGCGTTGTCGGGTGTCCAGTAGAGGGAGTGGTTCCACCCTCAAAAGTGGCGCATGTTGTAAAAGAGCTCTATGACATGGGCTGCTTTGAGATTTCTCTTGGTGATACAATAGGAATCGGCACTCCCGGTAATTTCTTTTTTGCCAATCTTCCGACATTTCCCTTAACTAACCTTACAGCTTGTGTTCTTATAAATAAATCAGGTAAGGTGGTTCCGATGCTTGAAGCTGTGATGGCAGTTGTGCCAGCAGAAAAGTTGGCTGTTCACTTCCACGATACCTACGGGCAAGCTCTTGCAAACATATTGGTGTCTCTCCAAGTAAGTCAAGCAAACTGAAGATATTTCATTTTATAAAACTTCCTTTTATAGGTTTAACTGACAACTGTTCTTGATAAAAGCAGATGGGAATAAATATAGTAGACTCATCGGTCGCTGGATTAGGGGGCTGCCCATATGCAAAAGGAGCTTCAGGAAACGTAGCTACAGAAGATGTGGTTTACATGTTGAATGGTTTAGGCGTCCAAACCAATGTTGATCTGGGAAAGCTTATAGCTGCTGGGGATTTCATCAGCAAGCATCTTGGCCGTCCAAACGGTTCCAAGGCCGCCGTTGCCCTCAACCGTCGGGTCACAGCTGATGCCTCGAAAATTTGAGTGTTTTTAAGAGGCTGTTCACATATATAAACTCTTATAAATAAAAGACGAAGGAAAAGTGAATACAACTTCTATATAAGGATGATATATGAATGGTTCGTTGGTATAAATGATGATTTGGAGTTTATTTAAACAAATTATGTCAAGCCTGGTTCGGTTCAATGCTGATGAGAAGGTTACATCATGTCACGCCCCAACTAAGGCTGCACGTCCTGATTGCTGCGAAGAAATCAGTCCGTGACAATCAGCTCCACAAGACCATAACAATGATGAGGCCCATGTCATATGCATGTATGATTCATGGACGTCCATAGTTCAGTTCAGTGGTTGTGAGATAGTTTTTGGAAAGACTCAATTCATGAAAATGCGAAACTTAAGGAGATTACAGACTGCTTTTTAATCGGAAGTAGAATGGTAGGCAATGGAGAGCAGGTTACAACTAAGCTACAACATTTATTATGTTAGTGTTTTTGAAACAGATTGCAAGGATCTGATCGTGATGATAAAGAAGTCTCAAGTGTGGTTGAGTTTTGCAATGGTAACTGAAGCTATAAAGACATAGCAGATACGTTTTCTAGAATTCGAGACATCACACATCCCAAGGGCACAAAATGGCGAATTTTGAAACTAAGATTGTGAGATCTTTTTATAGAGAGCTTTGTTGCATTGGTAGTTCTATTCCGGTCTAGTTAACCAGACCACCTCAGGGCCTGAGGAATAGAATAGTCGTTCGTTGTAAAAAAAAAGTCATATTTTAATGAATGCTTTGACGCCAATTAAAGAAACGAAACAATTCTAAATGACTAGTCACTTGTAAGAGATAATGAAGAGAGTGAAAAATGTATTATGTTATATTCTCTTAGAGTTAGTTACTCTATTTATGTATTGATATCACTCAAATAATTACCCTAAGGAGTTAATTACTCTCTCAAATAAGAGGTTCAGTTATAGTACTTAGGGATCGAATCCACAAGGAACTAAGGAACACAAAAGATATAATTCTAAGTGATTATTCTAGGTTGATTAAGGTTTTAAAAGTAAATTGCAGTTGTGAGCAATGGTAAGTTACATAAGAGAATTGGTTTAGGTTTTAAACAATAAAAAAATAGTTAGATTCAAGGTTGCTATTCAGATAATCAGAATTATAATGCTATAGATGTCTTTATAAGTTGCTTGCAAGATATTAAAGAACTTCAACTCTTAGATAAGCCTATAAGCAGTCGCTATTAAACTCGTCCATTGATCTGACTGCCGGCAATATCGACCGATGGTTTGACAGAGATATCGGACGATATAGGTAGCTGTCGATCAATTACTCTATAGGAGTATCGATCGATATAGCTTCAGATCGAATTGAATATGTGTTCACCAAGATCATTGATATATGGTGTTTTTAGCATATTCTAACTATGTTTTCTAAAGTGTTTTTGAGTCTTTTTCGAGTCTCTTTAGTCCTTTTTAAGTCATTATAGGTTTGGAGTTGCATTGAAGGAAGATGAATCACTTGGAGTGAAAGAGGCAGAAAAAGTACAAATTGGAGATTTTCATGCGGAACAGCCTAGCGGAGCAGCCTGAAGCGCCTGTTCCCGCGGCAGAGATTTTTAAGGAAAATACAACATATTTCAGGATTTGCCCTAATTCTCCTATTTTTTTCTCCCAGCCGCCAGCAGCCTCCATATATCTTCTTTTCCTCTTTTCTATTATTTTGTACGCTACTTTTTACACCAGCAACCAGATTTGAGGTTTTGGAGATTTGTGATTTCAATACTTTGTATCTTTGAGGGAGATGGATCTCTACAACCTTTGGAGAAGATTTCTAAACCCTCTTGCTTATTATTTATTGATTCAGACATGTTTTCTTCATCTCTAATCTCTGTGTTTTCTCTGTTCATGGCTGAGTAGTTAATTTGCTTAGTCTAGGGTGCTAGGAGATCATAGATCCATGAGCTAAACACAAATAAGGATTTATGTTTTGATTGTCTCCATTCATTGTTGAACTTACTGCCTACATTAAACTAGCTATTTAATGCCTGATTCTAGGTTTAATTTATTCACCAAAAGTGTTTTAGGTTGCTAGAAATAACATGAATGGGCAATTTGTCCCTAACCAGCGAAAGTAGATGTTAGGGCAAATTGTGAACTTATCGAATCTGGTCTTAATGTTTATCATCTTTCTCTGATTCAAACGACATTTTAGATATTAGGAATGCATGATAAAAGGATGGATGCCACGAGAGTGGATCAATCTTGTCTTGTTGTTCGAGTTTAAGACTTGCTGCGATTTGTTCCTTGAATAGATGTTTGGTTCAGGCTCATTGATTTCCGATCATTCACCTTAGACTTAGCTCTTTTATCATCTGAAAACCCAACCCAAATCATTCTCTTTTACTTGCTTGTTTTATATTCTTAATTTAAAAACCATATTGTTTTAGCTTAATATTCATCCTATAAAAATAAAGTGTAATATTTGGTCTCTGTGGATTCGATCCTCAAGTACTACATTGAAGCTCTTATTTGAGAGAGTAGCTTGAAGGTTAATTTGAGCATATCAAATTTGGCGCCGTTGCCGGGGACCATCTTTTTACCTTTATTTTTTGGTTATTTATTTAGTCTAAAATCTCTAACTTGCCTAATCTTATTTGTTGCAGCTAATGTTCCAGGTGCATGACCAGTAGACATACTCGGAGCAACGCACAAGTAGATTTAGTTACACTTAGCAACCAGGAGCTAGCAAGGTTAGAAAGAACCAATCGACAATAACAAAGGCCGAACAACGCCACAATTGGCGACTACGGCTCTCCAGAACAACTCGCTGCTGCGTTGCAACAGATGCAACAACAGATGCTTCAGATGCAGCAGACCATCCAAGCTCAGCAAGATGCTTCTCAACAGGCTGCTCTCGCGCAGCTGGAACGGCCAGAGCAAACTGCTCCGATCGGGAAGAGAAACCTACCGCATAACATCCCTGCTATGCGCTCTGCCATTGCTCCACCGCCATGTACCAGGCAATACTTTGAGATCAAACCTGCAATGATCAACCTGGTACAGAGGAAGACGTTCCGTGGGCTACCAGGTGAGATACCTATGGAACACATCGAGGCTTTTGAAGAAATCTGCAGCTTCACTCGTGCAAACGGTGTGCCACCAGATATTATCAAATGCATGCTGTTCCCATTTTCTCTAGAAGACAAGGCTTCAAGATGGCTTAAGTCACTCCCAACAGGTTCCCTCACTACTTGGGAATAGGTCAGAGCGGCTTTTCTGGGCCATTTCTACACAAAGGCAAAAACGGCTGCTCCCAGGAACAAGATCTCATCTTTCAAGCAACTTGCTAATGAGCCATTCAATGAAGCATGGGAACGGTTCAATGACACCCTCAGAGAGTGCCCTCATCTCGGGTTTGACAATGACCACATCCTAGGAATCTTCTATGATGGTGTGGATTGGGAATACCGAAGTGTTCTAAACTCTGCGAGCAATGGAGACTTCATGTCTCAGACCACTGAAGGAGCGTTTGAGCTGATTGAGAACATGGCTGCTAGTTAAGCCAATAGGATCCATGAGATCGATCGCTCCAAGGAAGTGAACAGTGTCGGCACCCAGAAGATTGATGAGCTGACAACTAAGGTTGATCTGCTGCTTAAGAATAACCAAGGGCAAGTCTACATCATGGAGGAAGCTACAGCTGAGCAGATTCAGAACAGTCACGAGGTTGCTCCAGAGGCTGGAAAGAAAGGGAACAATCAGCAGGATATCAGCTACATCAACGGACAGGGGTATGCACAGAACAACCAGGCACATGGTACGAGGTATCAGCAAGGTTTTCCACAGAATTTTCAAGGTAAAACCTTTGTTTTCAGCCAGGCACAGAACCGGTTTGTGGGTCAGAATCAGAATCATAACCAGCAACAGTCGCAGAGCAACCAACAGACTGCTCCAGCTACTATCAGTGGTGCGCAAGATGAGCTGCAAGGTTTGAGTATGATGATGCAGCAACTGTTGCAGGGACAGCAAATTCAGGGAAAGACATTGCACCAGGTTACCTCAGAGATCAACACCAGAATGGACAACATGTTCAGTGAGCTGAATACAAAATATGATATTGTGAGCAGCCACATAAAGAGGATTGATGTTCAGCTTGCTCAAACAGCTGAGAGTGTCAAGAGGCAACAAGGGACGCTCCCTGGAAAAACTGATAAAAATCCTAGGGCGGAGCACTGTAATGCAATAGAGCAACCGTTTGCAGAGACTATTCTGGGCGCAGAAGAGAAGACAAAGCAGTCAGCTAGCTCCAGATTGACTGCTCCTTATGAACCTGCTGAGACTCCACCACTTCGAGACTATGTTCCTAAGGTCCCATATCCTATTCCACCTAGACATCTGAGGGATCCCATTAGTGCAGAGGAGCTGGAAGGCTTTAATAAGATGGTTAGGAAGCTTCCTAAAGAACTCTCATTCGGCGATGCTTGGCAGATCCGGCCATTGCATTCGTTCTTCACATACACTAGAGAGACTCAAGAGGAAATTAAAGCCCTCTATATCAAGGCAATGACCACACCATCACTGAAGGTTTTGCCTAAGGTTGCTGACCCTGGTAAATTTGTTTTTCCATGTTCCATTGCTGGAGTAGAATTTAAGGAATCTCTTTGTGACTCTGGGTCTAGTGTGAATCTTGTCTCAAAGGCGATTGTAGATTAGTTGGGCATTGTGGATGTTGAGCCTTCTCAGGTGAATCTGGCTTTTGCAAACTCCTCCAAAGCAGTACCTTATGGCACCATTCAAAACCTTCCTGTCCAAGTTGGGGATTGCATTTTGCATGCTGAATTTGAAATTGTTGAGATGAGCAAAGATCATGAGATGCCTTTGATTTCTGGAAGGTCATTTATGGCCACAGTGGGAGCAATCGTTAACCTGCCTAATAAGAGTGTCTCCTTCTCCAACATCAACAAGAAGACTTTCTACAAGGCTGTCCCAACCAGGTCACAAATCCGATACGCCTCTTGCATCTCAGTGGCCAATAGAGAACAACCAGAAACTTTTCCTAAGAAGAAGCTTGGTGAAAAGAGTGTGATCAAGGTAGTCCTGGATGGAGATCCTCACACTGATACCAATGAACCCCGTGGGAATGCAAAGGTGAAAGAAAAAGTCCAGAAGAAAAGGGCCAAGAGTGGTCCTACGATGACTTTGATACCTCGCATGTGCGATGAGAACTCCATTGAATATGAGGTAAAGTGCAAAGGTACCTCTAAACCATTCTCTAAAGTCAACGCTATTCTCACACATGAGCTGAAGGAGAAAGGGGAAGCTGCTGTAAAAGGGTTGTTGAGCAGAGTATTGAAGCTGAACATGTCTGATTGTGGAGCTTGTTTTGGAGCAAGCGCTCATGCTCAACCCGACTGATCCCTATAACCAAGTCAAGCTAGTGACTTAAACCAAGCGCTTGGTGGGAGGCAACCCACTGGTAAGTGTAAATATCATTAGGACTTTCTTTTTGCTTATTTTTGGTTTTAGTTTGTTGAGTTTCAGGTCAAAAATCAGAAAAACCCGAGATATTTCAAAAATTTCTGGGTTTCAGAATCGGAGCAGTTATCCCTCCAAAAGGAGCGGCAGCTCCAGGCGGAGATCAGACGATGGAGAACCCAAAATTTTCGTGGAACGCCCGTTTCACGCCAGTAAGTAACCAAAAATATTTATATTTATGTTTTTATTTACACCTTCTCTCTCATTTATTTTCACACCGAGACGTTGCGAAGTAAGTCTGGGGGAAGGTCTTT